AGCGGCCTTCTGTTTGCTGAGCTGCAGCCTGCGTGAGAGTGGGGAGCAGCAGAGTGCAGCCCAGGGCTGTCTCCCACCCCGCCCTCCTGGGAGCCGGCCCCCTGTCTGCAGCAGACCCTGGCAGGGCGTCTGTCCATGATGACGCCTCAGTGGTTGGCCCTGGAAGAACAAGCAGTAGCCCCCATGGCCTCACTGCTGTGCCCAGAGAGAGGAGCCCGGGACGCCCGGGTGTCGCTCCCCGTCTTCATGGAAGAACAACACTAAACCCTGGCTAGGCTTCATATCCGAGTCACGGCACCATTATGTCGCTCCCCTTCTTTGTGGAGGAACGACACAGGACCCTGCGCTGTTCTTTTGTCTGCTCGGCCCTCCCCGGGTTTGCTGCTGGTTCTTCCCGGGTTGGCTACTGTCCCTTCCACCTCCGTGGAAGGGCGGTTCCCCCTGGCCACATTCCCCACTTCCGCGGGGGAGTGGCACACCGCTGGCCGGCTCTCTTGGGGGCTGCACAGGTGTTCCTTCAAATAGATGTTCCCCCTAGATGTTCCTGGTGCATGTTGTCTCTCTCCTCCTTTATAGTCCTCTTCCACCAATCCCAACTCTGCTACCCACACGCCGAGTACGCTGCTCTCCTCCAATCAGGAGCAGGATCAGCTCCTGCAGGTCATCACTCAAGCTGGCGAGAGGCAGCTGCGTAGAAGTTGTTACTCCCTTCTCAGCGCCATATTGTGGGAAAGCAGATGCATAGAACAAGTCCCAATTCCAGTAACTTAGTCTAGTCCGAGTTGCTCCCAGTTGCTCCCCACACCCGGGCAGTGAGGAGACATTGTTGGCTGTCTCCCCACGGTTTCTGCAGTTCGTGTTAAAATTGGCTGGTGTTTTGATAGGAATTCGGTTTTTGTGACGCATTGAGGTTTGACTGGTGTGCAGTAAGCTTCAGGGACTTAAAGGGATCTGACCTGGGTGTGCACCTGCAAAACTGTCCCGAGCCTCAATCAGGGTAGTGACAGCTCTCTCATCCAAGGAAGGTCCTGGTGCCCCTTGGCCTCCCCTCCCCTCCCGGTCACCAGGCAGCCACTGATTGCTTTCCAATGAGTGGGCATTTTCTAGAGTTTTCTGTAGGTACACTCACATAATGATATAATTATGTGGGTTTTTTTTAAAGATTTATTTTTTATTTATTTGAAAGGCAGAGTTCAAAGAGAGAGGGAGGAAGAGAGATCTGCTGGTTCACTCCCCAGATGGCTGCAATAGCCAGAGCTGGGCGAGGCTGAAGCCGGGAGCCAGGAGCTTCTTCCAGGTCTCCCACACGGGTGCAGGGGCCCAAGCACTGGGCCGTCCTCTGCTGCTTTCCCAGGCCATAGCCCAAGCACTGGGCCGTCCTCTGCTGCTTTCCCAGGCCATAGCAGGGAGCTGGATCAGAGCTGGAGCAGCTGGGACACAATAGGAGCTGCCGACGTGTAGGCAGCGGCTCTACCTGCTGTACTGCTCTGGATTTCTGATCTGGCTGCCCCTGCTCCGCTTCCGAGGGCACAGGGCGGCCTCCAGGGCTTCAGTCTCAGAATCCCTGAGGGCCTTTCTGGAGAGCGTTTGGCTGCTGGGCCGTGGCTCTGCTCGTCCTGAGCTCCGTGGGGCGGGGCCTGTGTCTCACCAAGGCCGTGGCTTGCTCTGCGGGGACCGCAGAGGTGGTGGAGTCTCTGGCCGTGCCTGTGAGGTTTCCTGTCTCGCCCTTTGTCTGTCAGTCCCTACCTAGGGCGTTTTGTATCATCAGAAACGCGCATTGTGGTTGTGCTGTCTTTGGGATTGTTCCTGAAAGTTCTCTGCCCTAGGCTGCTTCTGCGTGGTCTGTCTTTTCCTGTGCACGTGGTCCCTTCCGTGTCACAGTGTGGCTCCTACAGGCAGCATGTACTTAAGTCTTGTTTTCTTCCTTTTTTAAAAAAATGATTTACTTATTTATTTGAAAGGCAGAGCAACAGAGGGAGACGACAGGGGGAGAGAGACAGAGAATGAAAATATCTTCCATCCACTGGTTCACTCCCACGTGGCCTCCACATCCAGGCCTCCCTCCCACAGGGGCGGCAGGGGCCCCTCATCCACTGTCTTCCCAGGAGACTTAGCAGGAGCTGGACGGGGTGTGGAGCAGCTGGGGCTCAGCACTGTCCTGGTTGTGTGCAGGCATCCACCCTGTTGCTCCTGCGTCGCCGCACTGTGTGGCAGGACTCCCTGGCAGCAGAAGTGGGTCCTGTCTGCTGTGCGAGGCAGATGACCACTTGCAGTGTGACCATGGCGCTTATTCAACTCACTGCCACAAGTGCCTTGCGGCCGGCACGTGGCTCAGGGCAGCTCACGTGGACCATCACTGTTGACACGGCTCAGTCTCCGTCTGCCATTCCAGTTTTCAGTTTGTTCACTCCGGGTCCTGTTCCTGTGTGTCTGTCTCTACCTTTAAAAGGTGCTTTTTCTCCTTTGTAGTTTACCTGCTGGCTCCTTGCTTCTTGTGGAATATTTACGTGGCTGCTGTCACTTGATGCTTTCTAGGCCCAGGTGTTTGGCCATTCGATCAGAGCGCCGTGGCGGTGTCAGCTGCGGCTCTGGGGTGGGCGTGTGCTCCCTCTGCCCCCCCCCCCCCCGGCCCTGCCTGCTGCCTGCCTTTGGGAACGCAGCTTTTGGGGAACAGTCGTGCCCCTTGGTCTCTGTGGCTGCCTCTGTGCTGCCCGGCAGAGCTGAGCTCTCCCAACAGAGACCAAGTGCATGATGTGGCTGGTGGCTGTGGAAAGGAACCAGCCTGGGCTCAGGCACCAGAACCTGCTGCAGTTCTTGGTGGAGCCGCCTCCCTGTAGCTCTGGTGTTTGGAGGACACTTGGCTGGCTGTGGTCCTGTGCCCCGTGGTTCACACCTCGTCTTGTCAAGATGAAAAATGTTGTCTCCATGGGTTCTCACTGTCCTTGCTGTGGACTCTAGACCTGGAGGGTTGGGTGGTTTTTGTGGACGAGTCCTGGAGCAGCTGTGGGTGGATTTCCCGGTGCTCGGGTGCCGCGCGGCTCCGGTGTGGGTGTGGAAGCTGTGGCTGTGGCTGTTTGAGTTCCATCTGTGGGACTGGCAGTGTAGGGTTCTCCTTGGCTTGTCTTGCGTTTTCCCTGCTCTCCTTTCTCGCGCGGTTGTCGCTGGTTTTCCTGGCGTCACCGCCCCTTGCTGAGCGCTGAGTCCCCCTCGTGGAGTCCCCCTCGTGCTCTGTAATTGCTTCTTTGTGCCTCTTTGTCCCACCCCCCCCCACCCCCCGCCCCCGTGCTTGCAGATGCTGGCTGGGTTCAGCGGTGTTCACAGCGTGAGCTGAACTGGACTCTGCTTTGCTGCTGTTTTTCTGAGGTGGGGGAGTTTTCTTTGGTGGATTCTGAAGTTTATTCCTGAAGTGTTTTGACAGCAGCTTTGTAGCCCTGCGGCTTTGCGGCTGCAGGTGGGTGAGTTAGGATGCCTGGTCTGAGAGCGCCCCCTTCTGCCCCGTCCTGAGGTGCAGCAGCAGCCGAGCTTCTGTGTTGCGGGTCCCTCTCCCCCCTTCCCTGTCTTTCTCCTTTAATGCCCTCCAGCCTAGGCTACAACCAGGGAAGGTATGGGAGGAACGCGGGGCTCGATGCCCCGCCCAGAGGGAGCCCCACTGGGGACAGTGCTGGGGGAGGAGGAGGCGGGCACCCTGCCTTGTTTCACTGCGGCTGCCTCTGGCCTAGCAGCGGCTGAGGTTCGAGGGGGAGCATTTCAGGGGTCATGAATGTGGATGCCTTGGGTGGGAGCTGTGTTTCGGGTCTGATGGCACAGGGGTTTTGGCCAGGACCCCTTGTGTCACGAGGGGAAGAGGGGGGGAGGGGACAAGGGCAGGAGACGCTCGGATCCGCAGACCCCAGGTGCGCATGCTGGAGGGGGCAGTGGGCAGCTGGCACGGGCAGCCCTTGAGGGGCGGTGTGCGTGTGGGCCTTTGGGCAGCTCCTCCAGCTCAGGCGCCTGCAGCCTGGTCTGCACGTGGCCGCCACCGCTGGTTCTCCTCCATTCCTGCCCTCTCCCCAGGGCACCGCTGGGCACTGCTGCCTCTCGCTGGCAGAGGCCCCCATCTGGACTCATGCAGGACAGCGGGGTCTGCAAGGGCCTGGGCCCCTCCTCCCACAGACGACGTGCTACACCCCCTGTGCTCGCCCAGCCTGCTGCTGGGCCAGACGACGAGGGGAGGGCACTGGGCAGGGCTCTCAGAGCCTCACAGGGCTCCTGTGGGAGGCCCAGGAGTCGGGGAAGCTGTTTCCACGAAGCCTGAGGGTGAAACACTTTGCTGCTGGCCTCAGAAGTGTGTGCTGTGGGGGATGTGGGACTTGGTGCGCCAGAGTGTGGGGGCGAGACCTCTAGCAGGTGGACCAGTGGCTGTGTGACCTCGGGCACTCTGCTGTGACAGGGCAGCAGAGTCACCTGAGCACACAGCGTGTGTGCGGACAGTGCCTTGGACAGCACCAGCTCCTCATTCCCAAGTGTGTTAAAAGTGAATTTGTACAAGTGCTCACTCACACACATGCATGGTCATGTACCCACACACGCATGCGTGTGCATATACATGCTGCCGACGTGTGCTGTTGCACTCGTGCACCTACTCAAATGTGGTTGGACACGCAGGCACACGCACTCAGATGCCCAAGCAGTACACACCCACCCGTAACAGGCAGGTGCACACATACCCATAGCTGTGTGCACCCTCGTACACACGCCGACACGCACACTTGCACCTAGTGCCGGTCACTTTAATTGGAGATCCTGTCTGATCTGTGTGTGTTTGGGGAGCCTCCCTGCTCCCATGTGTGGTGCTCTTTTGTGATTGGGCTCAGTGATGGTGGGGAGGGCCCCGGAAGTTAAGCGCGGCGTGACTGGGACTCGGGTGGGCAGAGCCCGGGCTGAGGGGTGGGTCTTTGGCTGGCTGTGCTGTGGGCCCACACATTGCCTCTGCCCCTGACCCTGTCTGCTTCTCCCCGCAGGTCGTGCACACCCACAGGCCTCACTTCATGGCCTTGCACTGCCAGGAGTTCGGAGGGAAGAACTACGAGGCCTCCATGTCCCACGTGGACAAGTTTGTCAAGTGAGTCTGAGTAGTGACGGTGCAGGGAGGGTCTGCGGTGGGAGTGGGGGTGTTCCCGGCGCGCCCAGGCAGGACCTGCCTGGGGCACGTGGTTTCCAGAGAGGAGGCCCAGGGCCGTGGCCGCCTCTTTCCAGTTACAGTGGCATAGCTGTGCCCTGGGGCCGGGCTGTGGGTCCCTTAGCACACGCCTGGGGTTCCGGCCCACAAGGCCTGGTGCTGCTGTATGTGTCCTGGGGGGCTGCGGTTGTCTGAGGAGGTGCAGGCTCTCTCTCACCCCCATTCTGCCTTCACTTCCCCAGCGGCCCTGGGCTGCCCCAGGTGCTGTTCTAGCAGGAGAGAGCTGGGTCCTCCCTGGGTGGCCAGGGCCTCGTCCCCTGGTGCCCTGAGGTGCTCCCCTGTGGGTCTCCATTGTCCCTCTGGCCCCTGGCCACCACCTATCTCCCACCCCTCAGCTCCTGACCACAACAGGAGTTTGTCAGAGCGAGCAGTGGATGCTGCCCGGGGCTTAGCCACCCCTGCGCTGACAGCGTCACGTGCAGGGTGACACTGGGTTTGTCTTGTGGGGTCTGCAGTGGCTGCAGCTGGGAGGTGGCCTTGCCCTGCTAAGTCTGCTCCCTTTTTGTCAGGGGCTGTGGTCAGGCATGGTTAGGGAACGAGGAGGAGGCTCCCAGCCATGGGCTGTGAGGCCTCCTGGTGGAGACAGAGAGGTGCCAGGAGGAGGAGGCGGGGACAGGCCTGGCCCGGCTGAGGCCTGCGGCTCTCTGTGGATCTCTGATGCCCGCACTGCCTATCCCCAGCCCCGCCCCACCAGCCCCTTCCTGAGGGTTGGTCTGACCCACAAGCCCCCGGGCCGGGCTGCTCTGGACGTGAGTCTGCTGGCCTGCACAGGGGTATCGGCAGCTGGCCTTGTCCAGATGCCGAGGCTGGGGGCCACCTCTAGGCTTTTATCAGGTGCAGGCCTCACGCGAAGCCACTTCTGACTGCCTGTAGGTCCCCTCCCTGCGTGTCCCAGGATGCCCTGCGTCCTGCCCCGTGCAGAAGGAGCTGACCCCTGTGCTGCCACACGAGGTGCACAGCAGGGACGAGCCGCTGCCCTCGCAGGCGGAAGCCCAGCAGATGCGTCTCTGCAGAGAAGCCCCCGCTGCGAGACCCTTGGAGGTTTTCTCGTTTGCTTCACTTTGCGTGGAGCCAGACCCTGGGTCCTCACCACTGCGCTGCCTTCCGGCAGCGCGGAAAAGAAACCGCAGGCGGGGCACTGGGACGCGAGCCTGCCCGCCACTGCTGCCGGCGGCGGTGCCGGCCTTGGGCACGGGGAGTGTGGGGAGGCGGTCGAAGCACGTGCTGTCCAGGCGCTGAGCCGCCTCGCGCCGTGAACGCAGAATGCAGGTGGGAAGTGGCCGCCTTGGAGAGCCCCACAGAGTGTGGATGGCTGTCGTGGCCGGTGCACACAATGCATTCCGGCCGCATCAGCCACGTGGACATCAAAGGAGTGAAGCACGCAAGTTTAGGGGCCGGCGCAGTGGCATAGCAGGCTAAGCCTCTGCCTGCAGGGCCGGCATCCCATATGGGTGCTGGTTCGAGTCCCGGCTGCTCCACTCCCGATCCAGCTCTCTGCTGTGGCCTGGGAAAGCAGTGGAAGAGTGTGCACGTGAGAGGCCTGGAGGAAGCTTCTGGCTCCTGGCTTCAGATCGGCGCAGCTCTGGCCGTTACGGTCTATCTGTGAGCGAGCCAGCAGGTGGAAGACCTCTCTCTTTGTCTCTCTTTGTAGCTTTACCTCTCAAATAAATTTCAAACATTTTTTTAAAAAGTTTCAAATGCAGGAGAAAGTTTTCTGTGGCAGGTGGCAGAAGTGCAGCGGCAGCCTGTGAGGCTGAGTGTGGCCGAGCCGCAGCGCCGGGCGCCTGGGAGGAGGAGCGGTGCCGGGGAGGCCGAGCCCCGGCTCGCACTGTGCTGCCGCGCGCTTTCCTGCTGCCGGGCACGCGTGCGCTACCTGTAGCTGAGGCGGCCGTGTCGCCGTGGCCGGCCTCGGCTCTCCCCGGCGGAGTGGAGCCTGGCCGGTTTCCCTCAGCCTCGGGAGCTTTCTGTGGCATTATGTCCGCACAAGCCAGCTGCTGCTCAGTTATCTCAGCTTTTGTGTGTCTGAGAAGGCCTTTGTCTCCGTGTGTGAAAGGTGCTTTTGTTGGCGTAGAATCCCTGCTTGTGACTCTCTCTCGCTCTGAGGGCCCCGTTCCGCCAGCTCCGCTCCGCGTTGTTCGGGCGAGAATCCGCCGTTGTGTGCGTCTTCATTTTCTGTGTATAATGTGCCTTTCTCCGCGGCCACGCGCTGTCCTCCTCGCAGCTTGATGATGTTGCCCGTTAGCTCGATTCTCTCTCCCACCTGTGGCTTCCTCACGTCCTCGGATTGCGAGGAGACTTGTCCCTTCTCTCTCCAAACACGGGTTTTGCCCCCCCCGCCTGCGGAGCGCCTCGCGCTCTCCTGGGATTTGCTCCGCTTTCATCCGCATTCGGGCCCCCAGGGAGCTGTGGCAGCCGCCAGAGAGCTCTGCCTCTTCCTGCCAGGGCCACCGTCGCCGCCCGCCCTGCCCCGATGCATCTGTCTGTCAAACCTGAGACCCTTCCACGTGTGTGCTGTGCGTGCCCCCCGTCCCTGCCAGCTGGCCGCCCGGGGGCTCTCCTGGTGGTAAGCTGTAGCCCAGAGGAGGAACTGGGGGAGGCTCAGGCCCTGAGAGGCACCCTGGGGCCTCCTCCTTCCTGGTGCTGGGTCCCCCCTCACCTCTGCCGTGGGGCCTGACTTCTCTGATGGGACCTGGAGCTCAGCGCAGTCTCCCCCTCCCGGGAGTCCTGGGAGTCTGGCGTCCCCAGGCCGTGCCGAGTAGCCTGGCCCCTGTGCTGAGAGCTCCCTGAGAGTCTCTGTGTGTGGTCAGCTGCGGTTCTCAGGCCGTGTGAAGGTGGCCTTGAACCTGGACGGCCCCGCTCGAGGTGTCTGTGTCTGGCTTTTGCTCACGCAGCCTCCTTTCCCTTGCAGAGAGCTGCTGTCCAGTGACGCGATGAAGGAGTACAACAGGGCTCGTGTCTACCTGGACGAGAACTACCAGTCCCAGGAGCACTTCACGGTGAGCTCCCTGTGCCGACGCGGAGCGCCCGGCACTGTGCGATGGAGCCCCTGGGGAGGCTGGCGCACACACCAGGCTGGGGGGGGCGGGGTGGCCAGCATACACCGAGGGCGACTCAGCTGTCCCTGTCCAGGCGCCGATCCCGGTGGAGATCAGGAAGTGAACAGCCCAGAGAGGGTCCCTTGGCCTCGGTGGCTGAGGCTGAGGAGGAGTCGGGGGCTCTGAGGCTGCCGGGGGTGGCCACGCCAGGGCAGAGGCCGCATGGCTGTGTCATTTCTAGGATGTGGAGGCAGGAGAAGGCTTGTGAGCAAAGGCGTGTCTAAGACCCACTCACGGAGGAAGCACTGTCCCCTCCGGCCTGGCAGGTGCCTCTGTCCTGCTGTCTCTCCTGCACCCATCGTCCTGGGAGGTCTGTCATGGCCAGCAGGTGGCGTGGGCAGAGATGCCGGCATGCAGGAGCTCGTCACAGATGGTGCACAGGACACATGCATTCCCCGTTCCTGCTTGGATCTGAGACTGCAACTGTTGCCCTGGGGCCACGCACACTGTCCCCCAGCACTGTCCCCTGAGCACTGTCCCCCAGCACAGTCCCCGAGCACTGACTCCCAGCACTGTCCCCCAGCACTGTCCCCCAGCACTGTCCCCTGAGCACTATCCCCCAGCACTGTCCCCCAGCACTGTCCCCTGAGCACTGTCCCCCAGCACTGTCCCCTGAGCACTGTCCCCCAGCACTGTCCCCTGAGCACTATCCCCCAGCACTGTCCCCCAGCACTGTCCCTGAGCACTGTCCCCCAGCACTGTCCCCTGAGCACTATCCCCCAGCACTGTCCCCTGAGCACTATCCCCCAGCACTGTCCCCTGAGCACTGTCCCTGAGCACTGTCCCCTGAGCACTGTCCCCCAGCACTGTCCCTGAGCACTGTCCCCCAGCACTGTCCCCTGAGCACTGTCCCCCAGCACTGTCCCCCAGCACTGTCCCTGAGCACTGTCCCCCAGCACTGTCCCCTGAGCACTATCCCCCAGCACTGTCCCCTGAGCACTATCCCCCAGCACTGTCCCCTGAGCACTGTCCCTGAGCACTGTCCCCTGAGCACTGTCCCCCAGCACTGTCCCTGAGCACTGTCCCCCAGCACTGTCCCCTGAGCACTATCCCCCAGCACTGTCCCCCAGCACTGTCCCTGAGCACTGTCCCCCAGCACTGTCCCCTGAGCACTATCCCCCAGCACTGTCCCCTGAGCACTGTCCCCCAGCACTGTCCCCCAGCACTGTCCCCTGAGCACTGTCCCTGAGCACTGACTCCCAGCACAGTCCCCGAGCACTGTCCCCCAGCACTGTCCCTGAGCACTGACTCCCAGCACAGTCCCCGAGCACTGTCCCCCAGCACTGTCCCCTGAGCACTGTCCCCTGAGCACTGTCCCCTGAGCACTGTCCCCCAGCACTGTCCCCTGAGCACTGTCCCCCAGCACTGTCCCTGAGCACTGTCCCCCAGCACTGTCCCCTGAGCACTATCCCCCAGCACTGTCCCCCAGCACTGTCCCTGAGCACTGTCCCCCAGCACTGTCCCTGAGCACTGTCCCCCAGCACTGTCCCCTGAGCACTATCCCCCAGCACTGTCCCCCAGCACTGTCCCTGAGCACTGTCCCCCAGCACTGTCCCCCAGCACTGTCCCTGAGCACTGTCCCCCAGCACTGTCCCTGAGCACTGTCCCCCAGCACTGTCCCCTGAGCACTGTCCCCCAGCACTGTCCCCCAGCACTGTCCCTGAGCACTGTCCCCCAGCACTGTCCCCCAGCACTGTCCCTGAGCACTGTCCCCCAGCACTGTCCCCTGAGCACTATCCCCCAGCACTGTCCCCCAGCACTGTCCCTGAGCACTGTCCCCCAGCACTGTCTCCCAGCCCTGTCCCCAGCACTGTCATTGTTGCCCTCATGTGTGCAGATCTTTGCTGGGGGGTCCCCTGAGTGTCTTGCTGAGAGGCACCCCCTGGGTCTTGGGCAGCGCTGGGCTGCCATGGCCACTGGGCAGCCACCCCTCCACTGAAGCCCAGTGGCCTCTGGCTGTCAGAGGCAGACCATTTTATCTTTGCAAGATTGATGGCAATGAAGCCATATTTTTAGCTGAGTCTGTTTCAAATAATAGGCCATTAATTGAAGAAGGAAATTGAAATGAATTTATCTCATCCATGCGTGCTGTCAGAGGTGTTAATAGGAGTCAGAAAACAGTGGCCTCTTCCCAGAAGGCAGTTGGACCTGAAGCCCCACCTGGTGAGCCAGTCAGCCGAGGGGTTGGGGGTGCTGCGGGGGCTTCGGCAGCGGTGGCGATGTGCAGTGCCCATCCGCACCAGGAGGTGGCGCCAGTGCAGCGTTGCGCCACCCATCTTTTCTTCAGGAGATGCTGAAAAAGCAATTTCTGTACTTAAAAAAAAAATTGTTGGTCCACAGAAGACTTGTGTGTGGCCGTGGTGCATGCAGCAGGTTTGTTGGTTGTTCACGGAGCCGAGGCGGCGAGCCTGTCACCACCGGGCTCCGTGGGCTCCCGTCTGCCGCACGTTCCCCTGGACACTCCTGCCAGCACCGTGTGCCCCGGAAGGCCCTGTGCCCTGTCCCTGTTGCTGCCGCGGCGGTGGCAGGGGGAGGTGAGGGTGAGCACACCACACCCCGGCCCCAGGAGTGCCCAGCCCCTCCCTCCGGGCAGGGCCACCACCCCTGCTGCCCCTGCCTGCTCCGCCCCAGGCCCGCACTCCACAGAGCACTGCCCTGCCCTGGTTCCAACAGACACCGGGTCCCCGCGAATGTGTGTGGAGCCAGTGAGACAGCCTGGAAGACAGATGTGGTGGGGCGGGCGGGGCCGGGATCCCGTGTGCGGATTGCACGTGGTGTCCTCGGCCCTCCCAGGGGAGAGAGCTGGGGTGCAGGCCTGGCACGGAGCCGACGCTCGCCAGCATCTGGGTGCAGGCTCACCGGCTCGCTCAGGACAGTGAGGGAGCCCCAGGGAGTGGCCTGCTGGAAGCCCACATGGCAGCAAAGGAGGTCCTCTGTGTCCCCAGCAGAGACCCCTGGGATCTGTGTCCTTGGACGCTGGTGCTGCCCCATGTCCAGGGGAGTTGCCCGTGCTGTGCATTTGGGATCCTGGCGACGTCTACGTTGTGGTGGCCCAGCCATGACTGCCTGAGGGAGCCGAGCTGTCCAGTTCTGAGTCCTCGGCAAGTACACGCAGGGCATGACCAGGGTCCTCGCAGGGGACAGGTGTGTGTGGGACCGCAGTTCCTCAGGCTGGAATCAGGCTGGTCAGGTGCCTGGACCACTGTCCTGGGGACCCAGGAGCCCCTTCCCTTCAGGGTCCTGGCTGCATTTGCTGGGGACGTCGGTGCCCGGGGGCTCCCTTCCCGGCCGTGTTCTGGGGAAGCCAGCCCTGACTGCTCGGCTGCCCTGGCTGCTGCATCGTCCGCAGGATGTCTGCTCCTGATGGGGCATTTGGGAAGCAGCAAAGCGAGACAGAGCAGGTCGTTGTCACTCAGTGTCCTTGCGTGTGGCCCGCGCCCCCACCCTTGCATACCTGCTGTCCTCCCACCGCCAGCCACTGCTCTCTGCCCCGGAGCTGTCCTTGCCCGGCTGCTCTGCCCTTCCTTCGGCTGAGGGGCCTCCTCCTTCTGACTCTCAGGCCTGGCTGCTGCTCACTCAGGGCCTGTGTGTGCTGCGTCACAGAGCCACCCACGAGGACAGCTGTCTCTGCAGGCAGCATAGCCCACGTGTCCGGAATGCGTCGGGGTGGGGGGGGACAGCCCAGTGTGGCCTGTTTGAGCTGGTGGTTGCATCCGTGTGTGAGGATCCGGTGTTGGTAACCTGGTGCGTGCCAAGAGTGCCTGTGGCAGAAAAGTGAGCCATACGGCAACTTCCATGCCACCTGTGAGTACAAGGATGGCTCGGGGGGCTTTCCTCAGTGGTGCCAGAGGGGGCTGGGGTACCTGCGACCGGGGCCACTGGGTTAGGAGTACGTGAGGTGGGCCAGGCTCAGGGGAGGGGTCCTGTGAGGAGCTGCCCACGCCGCAGCCCAGGATCCAGTGGAGGCTCACTCTGCCTTGGCCTTGAGTTGCCCTCGGTGAGCTCCAGCCCGGGGAAAGGCCGCTGGACAGTGCCCACCTGTGGCGTTGGAGACTTGGAAGCAGTGTTCCAGGGTGGTCCGGGCACCGCGCTGTGTCTCACAGCAGCCCCAGCGGCCGCCACGCCGCGATTGGCCCAGGCTGCCTCGTGGGTATCGATCAGGCCCTCCAGCAGCGCAGAAATCTTGTGTCCAATTTACCCGACCACGCGAGGAGCATAGAAAACGCATCACTTAACACCTGAAAAGCTCAGCTATCAATAGGAGGCCGTCAGGGAGCGGCTTTCCTGCCGCCAGCCTCGGAGACACTGAGCGAGGAGGACTGCAGATTTGTCCTCATCTGATCTCTCTGCCGTCTTGTCTCACGGCAGGAGTGAGCACCACACCTGAGGCCGCCGGCCCAGGGAGCCCAGACAGGGGCTGTGCTTCCTGCGGGCTCCGGCGGGGAGTGGGGGCGGGCACAGGTGGCCTGGAGTCCACACTGGCCTGCTCATCACACGCCTCCTACAGGGCTGTGGGGGGCCGTGGCCGCGGTGGGCACACGGATGTGCGGTCCACAGCCCAGCTCCAGGGCTGTGTGCCCCCAGGCCGCTCTGAGTGGTGTCCCCAGGCTGAGTCATGTCTGGGCCTGGGGTGTGTGGGGCCAGGGCACAGGGGTTCTTCCCACGAGGCACCTGAGGAGACTGGATCGAAGCAGGCCAGCCAGGCTGAGGCAGGGCCCCTGTTGGCAGGGACCACGGACCCCAGATGCCCACCGCCCAGCACAGTGGAAGGCCATGGGTGGGCCCACTGCTGCCGCCTCCTTCCTGAGCTGCACACGTACCTTACTCCCTCCAGAGCTGCCAGGAGGTGCCCAGCACCAGTGTGTCTGGGGCAGCCCCACCTCTGCTCCAGGAGTGGGCCC